TAGGAAGGAAGAGCAGTTACATTATCGACACGACGTAGTTGTGGACAACCGATTGCTACTAGTTAGTTCGCACGGCGCTCATTGGCGCTACGAGCAACCGCCCCGCTTGCCCCCCGATCCTCGCGCCTATTCCGCGATTCAGTGACGCGTTGTGTACATATACCAAAATGTACCAAACTATAGTTCGAGTGACTTCAAATTATAGTTTGGTACACTTTGGTATATGTAACATACGATCGCTAAAAATTGTCTTATGATAGGACTATTCTTCAAAATCTGATGCGGTTCCAAAAGTATGATCCAATCAGAAGTGATTATCTCTCAACCGTTGTGCAACTGTTGAGTTGTCTGAACGCACCCATTTTGAATGCGTTTCGATGTTCACTGCCAGTACTAAAAATCTATAATTCACGTCACATGTGCTATAGATTTCCAGTACCAGCAGTGAATATCGGAACGCAGCCTTTGTGTACAACACAACAGCTCGAATCCTCAACGAATCAGAGCGTCGCGTCGCGTCGCGTCGTGCATGTTTCGCTACATACGTGCAAATGGCGGACATCGCGGTGTTTTGTGCGATGTTTCTTCGCGATTGACTTGGTTGTACTGTTGGTGCAACATTCGACAAGCGTGGAATATAAGATAGAATATCTCGAATTATAGTGATTCGCAGATTGTTCACAGTCATGGTGAAGCTGCTAAAGAAGTTCTTCACCGGTGACAAGGTGTTTGCCAAAGTTCGAGGTTATCCGCCATGGCCAGCTAGGGTAAGTCCGTGCGCTAAGACGCGGTGTTATCTCGATGAAGCAACAAATTCTGATCTATGATATCATATATATAACGTTATTATGTTTTCCCCACGAAAGTCTGATTACGATGACGACAAAGAGAAATAGCACATCCTTATCTATAACATAAATTGTGCGCTCGTGTTTTTTATATGCATGAACGTAGATTGCGTTTCTTTCTAGAAATAGAGAAAAGCGCGGGATTTTTATGGAGTAAACAATAAATTACTAAGTTGTATTTTATTCATCACACTAATTAATATATATTATCAGCACTTATTTTCTTACATTCTATAGATAAATAAATTAGAAAGAACAAAAAAAAAAATATATATATCTTGTATATTTATATACATAATTGTATATAAATATTTTGACATTCTCTTTTAATATGACAGACACAATACATTTGTGATTTTGCCTGTTTTTAATATTACATATATATATATATACAACTGTTAATTAACTATTCTGTTTATATAGGTTGAAAAAGTTAATGATCCAAATTCAAAAAATGCCAGATATAGTGTTTTCTTTTATGGTACAGGAGAAACGTAAGTAATATGTTATTGTTAATTTTTTATAAATTCATCTAATTTTACTAATTAAATATATATAATATTTCATGATTAATTAAGTATACAACAGTAGCATAAAAAATATTTTATCTCTAAATAAATGTTTTATTTTTATTGTTATATTTCAGAGCTGTTTGCAAAGTTGAGGAGCTTTATTCCTATACTGAAAATAAAGACAAATATGGCAAACCAAATCGACGAAAATTCTTTCATGAGGGCATACAACAACTTGAACAAGATCTTAAAAATGAAAGAAATAAAACTATGGATGATATTGCTGCTATTAAAGGTACTGATATTATTTTCATAATAATGTTTCTAAATAAGTGCTTAAACAACAAAAACATTCACATATACGATTTTGTTTCATATTCTAAATTATTTTTAGATGATATTTTGTCTATAGGTGCTGCTTCAGCAGCAGATCTGCCAACTGTTAGTGCTACAGATAGTGACATTGAATCCGGTTCTTTAGTAATAGATGAAGGAGACAAAAAGAAATTTTTAAAGAGAAAGCCTTTTACATCTACGCCTAACACTTCTGTAAGCAATATTTTATGCTTATATATTTAAAGACATATTAATGGAGTATTTAATACATACTGACAATACTGTTTGAGAAAACAGTTATTGAGACTAGTATACTCCAAAAGAGATTGAGGAACTGCTGACAAGCTGTTTTGAAGATTAAATAGTTTGTGCGATTGTTTCTTACATTACATTTTGTATATGCATATATGTATGTATGTATGTATGCATGTATGCACGTACGTATATACGTATATAATCGCAGAAGTTTGCTGCATTTCCATGTGTAAATTTTAAATATAGTTTTTAATGAATTTACATATGTATAAAAACATTTTAACATTTATTTAAAATTTAAAAATGATAGCAAGATACTCCAGAAGTAAAGAAGAGACGTGGCAGAGCAAAAGCTTCAACTGATATATCTAAACAAGAAGCTTTGGATTCGCAAGGGGAAGAATCACCTAAGGAAGTTGTTAGTCGCAGTGGACGCAAAATTAAACCAAAACGTTTTGCAGATTTTTCAAGTTCCGACGAAACCGAACCTAATATAGGTAAAAATAATATTTACATACTTTTTATTTTTTTATATATATATGTGTATATATGTAAGTTTTTTTTTAGAGCATGGACGAGGACGCAAAGCGAAAAATGAAGATCCTAATGAGCATCAGATAACACCAAATGTAATACACAAAAAAAGAGCTGCTATTGAAAGTAAGTACTTGTAGATAGTGTTCTATTTGTGTCAATTGTAAGTAACTTAGTTTTGAAAATATTATTCATCTAATTTATAGAAAGAAATAATGTAGATGAAGGACCGATACTAGATGGTACTATAGTATCAAGTACTACATCTTCTGATACGTCAAGCCGAGTTCTCTTAGCTCGTACATTCGCTGGAGAACATGTAGGCATTAAACTTGATGTAAACAGGCCGAAGTCATTTGAAAGCGAGAAAGCTCGAGCGCAATGGGACTGGTCAACCGCTAGAAATGCTATGAAGCTTAAAGCACAATTAGAGAGTGGTGAGATTTTACCTGAACAAGTAAAAGATTCTTTAGATTTTAATGTACCCGTGCCAGAAGATGAGAAAAATCTCTCCAAAGACGGAGCTGTCCACCGTAAAACATACAAACTAAGGTACATAAAGAAATCTGTAAAAGATAAAATATAATTCGCTCGTGTTGTAAAAACAAAGAAATTCTATGATTAAGGTCAATATCGAGCATTAAAAACAGATGTAAAAAATATATTAAAAAAACTCATTAACAAAAGTAGATACACAGTATATGTTAGGTGCGAAACGTTTCGACATGCACGGATGTCATCTTCAGTCGCTTAGTACAAAAAATAATAAAAAAATGGTTGTCTTGAAGTCGTATGTAGGTGGATACGCATACCTTGTGTTAGAAGAATGTTATGTCACATCATAAAATAATCTGAAAGATTGTCACAGTGAATATATGTACAGAACCTCACAATAAAATACACAAAATTGAAAGAAGCTTACAAGTCAGCAGTAAGAAGTCAAATGCTGGACAAAGTCAAGAGACAAACATATTTATATAAATAAGTAGTAGAGGGGAATAAGAGAGATCGTTGTATTTAAGATTTAAATGAAGACATCTTATTTAAGAGATCAAAATAGGAACTGCTTAGTTCAGTGTCTGTAACTAAATTGAGACCATGTTGCTGTTGTTTTATATATTTATTAATCCTTCAGTCTGACGGCCAAGAAGGGGACTTGGTTACATTTCTTACAATTTTCTTTTTACATATATCTTATCCTATTACATATCTTATTTTTGCGTACGCATGTTATCTCTATTACCCTTCCTGCTCTGTCTAATCCCTTCTCTCCTTCTCATTTCTAACCTACCCTTTGGAATATATACTTTACAACATACAAAGTATCACAGCTTTGGTTTGGTTTTAATTTACCCTATCTTATCTTGCACACACACCCTCTTATATTCCTCCCTCGCGGACATATTTCATATATTACATATATTACATATATTACATCATCTTATATTACTCTGTTTTTCTTATATATCTTATATACCTTAACTTATCTTATCTTATCTTAGTTAAATTAGTTTCTTCTCTACCCTTAGCCCTTATACGTTTCCTAGTTCTTCCTTTTAGTTAATCTACCTCTCTTTCCTCCTCCTCTTCCACCATCTGACTAGAGTTTTCTTTTTCTACCTTCCTTTTCTCTCTGAGTCTTTTTTCTTTTTCTTTCCACAGCCTTACTAAAACCCTACCTTTTTCTTTTCCTAGCTTATCATCGAATATGTTTTCAATTCTTTCCCTCTTGTCTTTGCCTAGTATATTAAACCATTCCTTACTTGTCTCGCAATCCTCCACATAATGTACTATATTGTCCTTCCCTTTCTCACAGAAGATACACTTTCTCTTTCCTTCTTCTATCCAGTATTTATTGTTTTCCTCCATGTTCCCACATCTTACTCTTATTAATGCTCTTACTCGATCTCCTTTCTCACCCTCTTTCTGCCTCTCTTTTTACAGATAACATGGCCCCTCCTCCTCTTTATACAATTCCTTATACCTACTATTGTATCTTGCCTCCCTTATTTGACTTTCCTGTATCTGTTTTTGTATATCTCTTTCTCTTTCTATTATCATCCTCTCAATATCTACTTCTATATTCGAGTCTAGTAAATTTTCAAAAGCTTCTATTCCCCACCCATTTCTGTTCAGATACCTTTCTTTCTCTTTACTATATTGATCCTTTTTCCCATTCTCTTTTTTCTCTTCGCTGCACAGCTTGACTAAGTTATTTTCACTATATCCCCTTACCTTCATGTCGTACCTCAGTGCTCTAGTACCCCATCTAATTTTCATCTTTTCCTTTCCTACCTCTCTCAGTANAACATATCTTGGGGTGCAAAAGTCTAATCTGAATACCCATCTTATGTAGTCCATCATAATTTTCTCTAATTCTTTCTTCTCCTCCCATCCCCATATTTCTACTCCATAGGACATAACGCTTTGCACTAGATATCTAAAGAGTGTCCACCTTCTCTTAAAGTCGTTCCTGCAGATTCTCTCTCCCAGTCCTCACACCTTATTCACTGCTATCCTCCCTTTTCTACAGAGGTCCTTAATGTGGTCCTTGTAATCGCCCTTCCTATCTGTTGTTTTATATGAATTGTCTCGGAGATTAATCTCTTATAAAAATTCGGCTCTTTATCTAAGATTTGTACGTTGTCCCAATTAAAAGAATGATCGAAATCTACACGGTGTTGTGAAACGACTGAAAGTTGAGAAGTGTTTTTAGAAATATTATATTAACATGTTCTTTTAATTTTGTTTTAATCTGTCTCTTGGTCTGCCCAACATATGATGCACAACAATTATTACAATTAATTTTATATACCACGTTGTTGTTGGAAAGACGAGGTGTATCATCCTTGTGGATCTTAATTAAATTCAGCTTGTTAAAGGTCACTTGTATCCGGTCAAAATATCCGTGTTGTGGAACGCTTGTTTTACACACTCAGATAAATGTTTAGTGTACGGGAATACAATGATCTTTTTATCGTTGTCAACATGAACGTCCTTGCGGTAGTCAGTGCTTAATCTTGATGAAATTAATTTCTTAATTCTAAACTTAACATTTTGAAAAATGAAATCGAGGGGGTAGCCATTATTCAACAAAGTATTGATGTAAAAAAGTAAGTTTTTTTCGTGGAAATCCAAATGTGATAGTAATAAAGCTCTGTCGACCAAGCTGTATATTGTACCTCTCTTATGACACAATGGATGGTGTGACAAAAACTGTATACTGTGTATCTACTTTTGTTAATGAGTTTTTAATATATTTTTTACATCTGTTTTTAATGCTTGATATTGACCTTAATCATAGAAAATCTGTAAAATGTTTATTTTCCTGGAACAATGTTGGAAATATATTTAATAAATCCCACCTACGTGACAGAGAAAATATTACCAGACTTCAATCGTATATATTTTACAGTTTGATCTACAATCAATGTGAAATAATTCTATTAGCTAGATTCATTCTATTGCTGTCTTCCAACACTGTATCTAGAACAATTTCATATAGTAATATATATATGTAATATTTATACGTATATATGACATTGTTTTTTATAGATGGCTTCGTATAGAAGCTCAGCTTTTACAGTTAGATGCTCAAATAAAATCGAGTCTGGGGTTAGATCGAGCTGATACAGATAGATGCTTAGAAGCGATGGATAATATCTTGGCCCTTTCAATTGATCCTTTAATGTTAAAGAAACATCCTCACATTGTGGAAACAGTGAAAAGAGTAAGCAATTATCGAGTACTTTAATAATTTTAATATTATATACATAAAATATCTATTTTCTTTATATTAAAATACTTTTTTCTGATTATTTCTTATTGTAGCTGCGACGATATGTTGGCAATTTGGGAGAATGGAAACTAAGTGAAGAAGAAGGGGTATGTATAAAATAAACTTGCTTATATTACATTATAGGTAGTCAAAAGAACGAAAACACTAAACAATTGTAGAAATATAATCTGTGTTGACTATATATGCTAAAATAATTTTTAATTAATAATGCTGAATGTTATTATATTTTAAAATAAGAGTATATATATTTATATTAATAAGAAAAGCAACATACATCAATATTGTTGTCTGAATTTTTTTCAGTATAATTAACAAATTACGTTTTTATATTATTTAGTGTTTTTGTTATTTTATTAACTTTTTTTATATCCTACCACAGAAAAAGTATTTTAAAAAAACACCTTAATGCTACAATATATTGTTTTTTGTTTTAGGCTGTTTTTAAACAAAAGGCGGAACAGATCAGACAAAAAGCTGAGCACATATACAACAAGTTCAAAGTAATTCAGAATGAAATATAAATATAAATATTATATATAGTATACATATATATTTTATACACATTATCTTTTGTTTTGTACTTATTAAATAAACATGCAGGCTATGTTTACCATACCCGAGGGTCAGTCATTTTGGCAATCATTTTCGAATCAAGTGGTCCATTTCAAAGAATTAACGAAAAATATGTCTGAAGAGAAAGTATTTTCACTGATGTCCGATCCTGCTGCTCCAGGTAATAATTTCACTATCATTCCATGATTATGATAGTGAGAAATTAGGCTCACTTCTAGATGAGAATTATATGTACGATAATTGGAGAATATGTATATATATTTATTTATTTATAAAACAAAAAAAGAGGAAAGAGAAAGGAGAGAGAGACAGATTTTCTTGAAACATTTAATACAGAAAAACTCGCGATATGTAGATGCAGGTAGATTGGAGAGTCCACCTACAGCAGATGAAAGTGGTAGTTATCCAGATATAGATGTACCAGCTGAAGTAGAACCAGCAGCAGAACCAGAACCAGAACCAGAATCAGAAGCAGAAAATAAACCAGAATCAGAACCTGAACATGAAGTTGAAGCTGAGCCTAAATCGAAATCAAAAACAGAAACGGAAAGTGAATCAATATCACAGGCACAAAGAAGAACAGAGCCCGAAATTTTTGCTGAAACGGAAGTAGAAGCAGAAGTGCCTGCTAGCAATGAGAGTCTTAAAGATGAGGGAGCCAAGTAACATATGTAAACTTTATCTGATAATATTGTTTCTCTCTGGTACACCATCATGGTACTAAAAGACCGAAAGACTCATAACTTACACATCGGCCACATTCATCGAACAATATTTTATATTATTACAAATTTTTATTCTTTCTTTGTAATGAACATGTTTATTATAATTTGGAAATTAGTATCACATGCAGATGTAATGTCTACATTTATAAAAGAATGATAAAGTTCGCAGATTTAACTTTTTATTTGGCGAAATGTTAATAATATATATTTTCTTTGTATTAAACAGACACACGCGTTTACACTATGTGTGTATATATGTATATATATATATATAAATGTATGTATATATACACATTATGTGTACACACATATACTAAGTTATAAGTATATGTAATCATGCGTTAAGCGTGATAAGCAATTAATAATAAGAGAAATTTTATTGAGAATATGTTATTTATGAGTTTATTATAACGTTCCCGATAAAGAGTTAAAACTAATTATGTTAAAGTAATAAAAAATAGTAGACATTATGTCTTAAAAATCATAAAATAATTTTATGAACTATCAATTTCGCAAATGTCAAGATTAATATCTTAATAGATGTGTTATATTTTCTTTGATGAATATGTGAGTAAATATCCCCACACGGTACACATTATTACTCTTATTACGCTTTATATTATCACTTGATATAACATCTGCAATCAACTTAATTATCAGACAAATATTTACTATCAGATATTGTTGAGTAAATGGTTGTCATAATAATTGCAAATAGAAGGAAACGCAAGTATTTATACCTGACAGTTATACTGCTGTTGCGTATTGAAATACTAGTCTTTGTGTATTCGGTCAGTGCCATGCAGAAATTTTATATATATAGAATACGTAAAAAACACTTTTATTACACACAAAGAACTTATTTACTATTTTCCTAGTTATTAGTGTTAGCATTAAATGCTATATTTGCGAAAAAAATGATGGTGCAATTAACAGCACTGACATAATCTTTGGTACTTTTTTTTAGTTTAATATTTTATTCAACAAATTTGACTTTAACGTATGTTTTTTTCTCTTACATTACGTGTAGAGAACTCTTTATTTTCGTTGTTTTTTTAGAAGATATTGTTTTTCTTTGCGCATTGATGTTTCTTTAAATATTTCCATAACATTGTTCTTTATAGATTCAAAATATGAATATTTTGATTAAAATGAATGCTCTACAGTAAAATTATGAAATGCTCGTGATACACACATACACACACGCACACACTCGCGCGTACTGAAATTGTACAAATTAGAAAAGCTAGTAAATGTTCAAACAGTATATATACATATATACATATATATAACATCATCATCAGAAAACACGGCAATTACTACAAACAAGTTACGTACGCGCTCGAAATTGGTAAGTACTAAATTTATCTTATAATTAATAACATCTGCAATGCGGTAAATTATTTAATCTATTGGAAAAAAATATCACAAGTGTTGTAATTATTTTTTAGATTCAACGAAGCTAAATTAAATTATAGTGTAATGTACATTTAATGTTATCGACACTATAGAATAATTGTACTTTTATAATGCATATCGATAAAAATCAAATTTGTAAAAGTAAAATCTTAATAAAAATTATATGTATGAATTATTTGTATGAAAAACATATAATAAAAAGATTTAATATAATAACACATTATTATGATCATACATATAACAATGTTTTTGATTATTATATGCACATATTTACTTCTGCCTCTTAAAAAGATCAAATGTATTAAATGTTTAAACGCATCAAATTTGAAATTTGTAAATATCATTTTATGTATTTATATGTATTATATATGAATGTGTATCAATACATACACACAGTAATATTAATATCTCTGTAATATATAGATTAGCGAGAATATACTTGAATACTGAATTATTTTTATGAAAGCAAAGGTTAGTAAGGAGATCTGATGCAAATGTTCGATTTGCAACGCATATATGTACAAAGCTTGTACATTAAACATATATGCTCTTACACTACATAAACAGATATGTCGAATAGATATTCTACTACTAGAATACACAATCTAAACGCGTATCTTGCTTTACTGTATCATATAACTGGCATTTTAGGTACGTGTAGAATTACTGAAAATATTAAAATGCGTACGTGTGTACAAACATGTTTTAATAAATCATATAAAAGAGAGAAACCAATTTATAGGGTTAGTGAAAGTGAAGAAACGGTAAAGAGAGTTGTAAGTTGACAAATTGAAAAGAGAGAGAGAGATTTTCGCGCCCGAGCGAGTACATATTGTCATATTAATCCATGTAGATTAGTAACGCATCTTATTTAAAAAATATAAAATATGTATTTTCTTTTGTGCATTTTGATGTTGAATAATGAGAATTACAACGAAGCACGAACAATATTATTTTTCTATAAATGACTTGAGATCAGATAAAAAACAATTGTTAGACAAGTTAAAGATTTTTCTTTCTCGCTGCTAAACATGCGGGAATAACGTGTTTAAATTATTATACAATAATATAGGATCTCGTTTAAATAAAAGAATTTTGATTTGTTTAAAATTAAGCATTAACATTGTGCGCAATAAATACTCGATAAAACAAACGTCATTTTTTCGATCATATAGCGCAAGCATGAAGATCTATTTTTACGTTATGCTCGTTTACTAATTACTGTGATAATCTAACTGACATTACAGTTAGAAAAAACAACGTATTCCGTATTTATATCGCGGTCATATATCGCTAAAAGTGGACGATAAATAATCCAGCAAGTGTATCAGGATATTATTAACAACATGTAACTCAATGCATCCGCCAGCTGATAATCGGCTGATTTCATCGCACGACCGGTATTGGTCGATATATGAAGGCAAAATTGTGTTGACTTTATAGCCTTTATTACACACCTTTGACTCTCACACAGTTAATATTTAATCATACTTTGCATACATGATGTTAACGAGAAACGGCACACTTGAGAGTTTCTCGTTATGTGTGCTCAGTGCTACTCCACACGAATAAAGTGCTACATAAATGGATTTACTAAACTTACAAATGTTTTTACATGAATTGTAAACGACGGCGATTTTGGTGTCGCAACAAATGGAAAGATAAATATAAAGAGAAAATAGAATGTTTCCAATTATAATGAAAAATACCACATGCGCGCGTAAAAAAGCGATTGATTCGTTTTATGTTGATTTCGTAACGAAATCTGTGAATCGAAAAAAATGGTTGCGTACTAATATATTTCAGATTTCTACTACAACATAGACTTTTTATGAAATGTAAAAATAAAAAATTCCAAGTTACGAAAGAAGGCATTAGTCTGAATAAATGGATGAAATACAGTAAAGAAAAATTTAAGATATTTAGTTCACATTAAATTATGGATAATCACAAGTGCGTATCTGATCTAGTTGAGCAAACGGTTATCACGGATGCTTATAAGATATCCAATATCTTCAGACATCTAAATGAAGACAGCGTTGCTAGAGGAAAGATCAATAAAGAGAAAGTGAAACTAAGATCGGTTCATTACTCGTATCGAAAGTTTTGGATGCTCCGTATATCGATAATATTCTTCAAGTTCATCGGTCTCGCTACGTTCGCTCACCGTATCGTCACGCAGAGGAAGAGAAGGTTGTGCACATTTCAATACTCCGAGATTGGAATGGTCTACAACTCGTTGCTCATCAGTTTGATAATCGCTTCGAACTTTCTGTCGATACCGTACACGATGAATATGGAATACGAAAACAGATCAAATCTGACCGTGGGCATCGAAATTCTACAAAACATACTCGGTAGCGTAGTGATATGCGCGATTTTGCTCAACTACTGCATCGATCAGAAGTCTTTGGTGCGGATCGCGAACCGATTAATGGATATCGAGCACGAGATTGACTGTTTGTACCGTTTGTACTCCCCGTTGCGACGACAGCGTGTCTTCTTCACTCTGTTTATCGTATGTTTTCTGAAGAGTTTTCTACTGATCGCTCTTCTCATCACCGAGTTCTTGGCCTTTCACTCGAGTCCAGTCTCCTGGCTGACGGATATACTGCCAACGTTTCACGTGGGCTGGCTGATGGTGCAGTACTTCCTGCTGGTCACGGTCATCCAGGCAGATTTCGCGGATGTGAATCGAGCGATACAAAGTCTTTCCGGCACGCCGGATCTTTATTCGCAATCAGTTTATCGAACGCGTCGCGTCGTCGTCAGCAATTCTACCGTTTATCAGCTACTGAAGCTGCGAGATGCGCACTCTCATTTATGCGAGATCTCCGAGAACATTTCAGAATTCTTCTCAATGCCAATACTGTTCGGCATTACTTTCTTCTTTCTAACGCTCATATATAACGGTTACTATCTTCTCTCACCGCTATTGATGTCTGACGAAGTTTTAGAGTACAAAATTTTTAGTAACACCGTCTTCTGGTTAATATTTCTTATTTATCCCGTTTGTCTTCTTACCAATAGAATCACCAAGATCTCGAACGAGGTAGGATAATATATTCAGCAAGCTCGGCTTCAGCATTTTTCTCTCTTAATTGGATATTGTTTTTTTTTTTTTTTTTTATCGATTAGAGAAAACGAGATGTGTGAATAATATTTTACAAAATTTGCGTAGCGTTACTTCACTTGTGAATTTATTGTAGATTGGGAAAACAGGAAATGTAGTGCATGACCTTTTAAGTTGCGCGGTCGGCAAGAAAGCAGAGGCGGAGGTAATACACATACGACAATTATATAATTCTTTCGGCACTCGTTATAATAACATTTATTGTAGATTTGTTACAGCTCAAGCAATTTTCGCTTCAACTGCTACATCGCAACATACGATTCACAGTTAACGGATACTTCTCGCTCGATAATAGTTTTCTTCATTCGGTGAGAATATTTCGGAACAACATTAGGAGCAACGCTTCCTCTTCTAATGCAAATTTCATTATTTTCTTTATTTTTTATCCTTCTGATTATCAGCTGATCGGTACAGTGGCAACGTATCTGGTGATACTTGTGCAATTTCAAATGGGAAGCAAGGGTTCGTTTTCAAAGCCGCACTGTAACTGTACGCGTGAAGATTTGTCGAACAAGGAATAACAACAAGATGAAGATGAAATTATAATTTTAAATAATAATATCAACTGCAACTTTGTAATTTTCTAATATTTCTATAACACACAATGTACATACAATTAGTTTTGATTAACAAAAATGTCACAAAGGATATAAAAACAAAATGTAAATATATACATATATATATATGTATGTATATATTGTACATAGAATAAATTATCAATTAATTTATTAATTAATTACATATCTCAACTAAACATCCAATACTACAGAGTACAGAAATAACAGACATTTTCTAGTACAAATTTCTAAAATGCAAACTTTCTTCGTCATCTGTTATTCGCCATCTTTTTCACAACACAACTAATCAGTTCTTTCGTTCAAACGCTGTCGTTCTTGGCAATATTATTTTGTAATTTCTAACATATCGCGCAGATATGTAACTAATTTGTGTTTCAACACACATCTAGCTATAGGCCACCCACGATTACAAACATTCATTATTTTGTAATACAATATGGTAGCAAATCTTTCATTTACTTGCACATTGATTTAAGATAACACAGCACGATTTTGTTTTTAATTTAAGATACACGACAGGCATATATTGGCTACTTTCCTTTTTAACTTGGAAATAATTGCAATTTCCGAGAGTTCATTATTGCAGTTTCCGACGAGTTTCTCTCTCCTGCTTCAATCACAACCATTAACACTACATCGGCGATTATAGCCTGTCCATCGTTATAAATTGTCTAAGATATACGTGAAACTGTGCTCTTCGAATGACAGTTTTTTAAATGATGCATCGAAGATTACAGATGTACGCATTACTTAGTACACATATCATACATACACATTTGTCTAACTTATGTTTTATATCATATTCACATAAATTAATATTCGCATTATATTAAATCCCGCATCTATTATTTGCATAATGGCACGCTTCCGATTCATTTTCGAGTTAAAATGTGCTATTTTCAAAAATCTAAATGTTACATCATCTTCCGCGTCAGTAATTGCAATTCTTTTGTCTCTTGACAAATAGACTTTTGCTCATGACTTTATAATGCAACAAGCACGCACTTTCTTTTTTTTTTACAAATGTAGCAAAGTACGCGCACGTTATACTTTCGAGCATAATACAAATATTTTATATAGTTGTTTAAGGTGTGTTGTAGGTCACCTTTTTTGAGCCTTTTTGACTTTTTTTTCTATGTAAATATTAACATATATTGTTGTGAGACATAACTTTTACATTAACTCTCTTTTTATTGAAACATGTTTTCTCAATTTATCTGTTATTATTAAGTAATAAAATGTTTATATAAAAAAATATATCCTGAATGTTCTGGTTGATATTTTAATTTTTTACAAGTGTTTTGTACGAATATTTATTTGAATGATTATCTATTATTAGTAGCCGAATTCAAGAGCTTTGTTTTTTTCAAGTAAAATTTATTATCGGTAAATCTTTCTGTCACAAATACAGTAAGATTTAGTTTTAAAATTAACTTTCCTCAGTTATTGCCATTATCTTATATAAAAATAATGTCAATTTAACTCAGTATTTTACCTCATGCGTAAAAGTACATTTTATATTAAAATCTCCAAATCTCGAATATTTTAAAAATAACATATACACTAAGAACACTTAATTGAATCGATCAATTGATGAACAATTATTTATATATTCGCTAGAATATATTTTATCGTCATTCAATTATCGCAGTAATTATTATATATAGCAAGCTATACATACACAGATTAGCGCTATAGTTTTTCCCTCTAATTACGAACGATATTAGATAATCCTTCAAGGGACTGTTTCATTGCTGTATTTATTCTAGGAAAAATTACATTTATATTTTTATCACGTTTAGAATGTTTATTATAAATCTTACACTAAAGAAAGTAAGTTTACTATAATTAGAATATATGTCGATATGTATTGTCGCTGATGGTTAAGTCGAGCATATCAAAAAAGTTGTAAAAATCTTTTGTAAAAATTGTAAGACATATGAGAATATTTTGGAACGAGAGAAAAGTTAAAATATTTCGTCTTTCTACGATATGATTTAAAGACGAAATCTATACGTAAAACAGAAATCTATGTTTAGGACAAAAATTTATATATATTATATATATGTATATATTTATACAAATATAAATATATATATATTTAAATATATATATATATATATATATTAAATATAAATATATATATATTTTTTTTTGTTTCTGTTTTTAGAGCTTATAAAGTCGTTATGAAAAAAACTTCAATGTACTGAATTATTATTGTTGATAGATAATGAGAGATCGATATTTCTTTAGCACATACTTGTGTTCAGCGACGTTTTTCAAGCAATAACTTACGAATTATCCCTCGAAGGAAATATCGATACACGTATATATATACACATTGCGGGGTTTCTTTTTTTGGCATGATATGAGATTATAAAGACTTCTAACTACTTAATCGTTCTCTCTCTCTTTCTCTCTCTCTCTCTCTCTCTCTCTACATGCAGTCATATGTTATATATTAGTACACAACAACATGATATTCTCATTCATTTTTCTATACGTATCTATAATTTATATTTATATAAATCAAAAATTGACACAATAAATCATCAGAATGCTTAATTTAGAATTAGAAGTCAATTTTGATTTAGAAAAATGTGCGTTTTTAAAATACTTGTTATTATAACTAATTCACAAATCATATTGATCTTACCGATTCAAAGTTCATTGTCTAAAAACTGTAGACATTAGAAAGTTTTCAAATTTTACCACATTTTGTTTGTCGTATTCTTGTTGTCGTCAGTAAAACTCATATAACTACATGTACACGTACATCTTCATCGTTTTTAATGCATTTTATCATCAATTGTTTTTTATACAACTTATATATAATATTCACACAGAAAAATTTTTATTGCATAATCATTTAAATATAAATAACATGTTGATTTTACATGAATCTAATGCAGGTCGAGATTTTCTTATAATGTTATTTTTCGCGAATTATTGACGAATTTTATTAAATTGGTTCTATATATGTATACAAACATGGCTGTGCACAGCAAATCTCATTTACAGTTGAATATATATAAATTGTTGAATAAGACAAATAAATTGTTTATATTAAATAAATATAAATAGAATCCAATTAAAAATAGATAAAAACAATAGACACAATAGATAAGAAATAATAAAATAGATAAAAAATAAACATTACGTTGATAACAAAGATGGAAATGTCAATGAAATTAAATAATGTATGACAAAATAAAAATTTAAAAAAATTATAAAAAAGACAGTATAAATAATGATTTTGAAATGATCACTTAAAGAAACTTATAATTACATCGACATGTTTATTTCTACTATCTTCTTGTTAAACGGAAGTTTCGGCTGAGGTACCATTTGCTTTTAAGGGACTGATGCTTTCCTTGGATCGTATTAAATCTATCTGAAATAGTTGAGAATGGAAGTATTTAATAAGTTTCAATAACGTTGTTTTTTTAAACTTGCTTTGATATGTTTTTTTTTCTAAAAATTTGTTAGTAATCCGGTAAAAAATTTTCCATGTATAAAATTGTATGGACATATTCGGCATATAAATTTGGATAATTAGATATAATAATTCTAATTTGTGTATAAGTATATATGAAAAATTTTTTACCGGGAAAAAAGAGAGAAAAATATAATATAATCACATAATCAGTGTTATGTGTAGTTTGTCATTAATTATTATTTATTAAATTTAAAAATATACAGCGCATTTAAAAACAAATGTTTATTTGTATATATTATATTATGTAATTTTATATACATATAATTAAAATGTTGTAATAATACTTTGTTGTTTATTATAATTTAATGGTGTTTTTTAAAATTTATATTCTTTAAATAATATACGTATATATATATATATTTAGTAATATAATAAACATAGCTAAGGTGTTAAAGCTCATGCAACGACATAAAGCCACTAATAGTGCAATACACATAAAGAACATGCGATTTAATTTCCTCATCTTATTTTACAAAGCTCGTTCAAACAAGAACATTTATCTGTTCTTCTTAAATATATATTTTTCTTTAATTATTTATGATATATATTACAATTATCTCTATTACAAAAATTGCATATTATCAAAAACCTAATTATTTATCTATCTATTTACATCAGGATAAGTATAAAATTAAACCGATGAGTATATGAACCAGACCTCTATGTAACGTTTAAATAATCGCGTGGAACGCAATGATCCGGATTCTGTAGGTGTGTAATCATGATTTTCAATTGTAGAATATTGCATGAGGTAAGTCACTTTTCTTTACAACTGATAATCATACACGTTCATAAGTCCGGTTTATCGCTTCCCACACGCTTATTTTCTCACATTTATTAATTAATATCTCAATAACTATTGCAAATTTTGCAAAGTAATAAATAATTTTTCTGTTTAGATTGACTCAATCTAATTTTACGCTTTGTGTAGCTTTTTGTTATTCGTTGCCAGACATCCTGTATATACGAATTTAATGCAGAAATACAAAGCTGAATCTCATAGACAAGTAAATTGCTATGTGACAAAAATAGATATAGTTAAGTATGTATTTACATGATACGTAAATATACTTGTGTGTAATAACAACAAATAAAGAAAAAACATTTAATATTTTTCTTAATTCTTTTTGTAAGTAGGAGATTTGTGCAATTAAATAAAGTATTTTTCACAAAGTTGCACATTAATATTTTGCACCTGAAACTTCATTTTATTACATTTTACATAATATTTTATACACGATCCTTATAGGAATTTATTACTGATGTGGCTAAAATATTTATTTATTTATTTTGAGTAGCAAAAGCTTTCTATAACAGTGATTTTAATACTCAAAATAAATATTAGTTTGGCCATAGACAATAATAAGTGTCTATGAAAGAAGAGTTATGTTATTACTGGATGACAAAAGTTATACTACGTACTTTCGTCGTACTTGTCGTCTATGAAAATTTATGTTTGTTTTTCTACAACGA